CCTGGAACTGTCGGTCCTGTTGTTTTCTCCTCCAGATTGTTCATGCAGCCTATCTTATTTAGACAGACCTGCAGAGATAATAACTTGCACAAAAACAAGACAGAGCAAAACCAAACAACAAAACAACAACAAAAAGTCAATGACAAAACACCCCCCCAAACACAACAACAACAACAACAAAGAACAGCTTGTAGTTAGTTCAAGGACTGTTTGTTGGCTTTTAGGAGTGTTTTCCCATAGAGTGATGGGGTTCCAAGCTCTGACCCCAGTGTCAATTTTTTGTATTCCCTGGGGGCTTTGTTGCTCTGTTCCCCTTGCTGTTCTGTTGCACGCCCTTAGTGTTTTGCCTCGGTTTGGTAGGATCAGATTGGGCGCAATTCCCACACTTACCTGAGCGTAAGCTACTAATTGGATGCTTTAACATCTGATATGTGAGCTTACATTTCTTTTGAAGAAAGATGTTCTCCTATAGAACCACAGTACAGTCACCCACATCAGGAAAGTAACATGTACTACTTCTGTCTGGTCCTCAGACCCCATTTGTGCTCTAATGCCGTCTTTAAAGCAAAAAGGATACAGTTTAGCATCACCTTTTGGATTTAGCTGTCATGTCCCTTCTAGGCTCTGCCCTTCAGTTTGGAAGAGTTCCATAGTTTTCCCTTGATTTTCATGTGTGGTAATTTTGAAGATTACCATCCAGCCATTTTGCAGTGTGGCCCAATAGGGGCTTGTCTGAAGTTTCCTCATGGTTTGATTCAGCTCGGAGATCTTTGTCAGAATGCTGCAGAAGGAATGCCCTGTTTGAGGCTGAGAACATGTGTTCTTCATATCGTTACTTCCTATGTGTTGACTCGAGTTTATACAGTTTCTGCCTCTCTGTTTATTTGTTGTTTTTACTTTTATTAGCTTTTTTAAAACTTAATTTGTTCCATACGCAAAAGCCTAGGCAAAAGCCATATGGTTTTGCATCTGCAGTTTCTTCTGGGATATCTTCTCCTGTGCAGCTTCCTCCTCTGGTTCGGGAACAGTTTGTTCCTTGTCATTGTGGCAGGGGAGCTCCTGCGTGTAAGTCAGCGGTGCATCTTGGGGGCTTTGTTCACCTGGATGAGCTCAATGATGAGAGAACCCGTAAGTTCAGCATCACTGTCTATGTTTTTAAACATGTGCAGCAAGAAGTCAGAGTGTCCAGCCCCACTGTTTGGCCTGGGCACACCTACCTACTTCACTACCATAACGTCAGAGCAGCACGCACTGCTTCTGCCGAGGGGCACCTTTCAGATACTCGGTGGCCTGGGCAGTGTCAAAGTGCCCCTGAAGACTTGAATCCCTTGATGTGCATGATTTGGGGGGGTTTCTGGGTCCAGTGAGCAGGGAACATTTTGGCAGATCACCTCAGGCTGCTACAGGAAGAACTATTGTTTCGTTATTTTGATGTCCAAATGCCCATAACCTGGGCTTTCCTACGGAAAGGCCATATGTGGTTCCAAAGGGAAATGCCTTGTTGCTGCCTTATGGAGTGGGTCCCCACTTTCTCTGCTGCATTTTTCCGAGGGTAGACCAGCTGTTAGAAGAAAGGCCCACTCACAGCTGTTGAAATACTAAGGAGCCCAGTTCTGCTGGGAACCACACCGGGCGACCCTGGGTCAGAACTGACTGGTCGGCAGTTGGGTGTGTTGCGGTTGCTGGGACGGGCACCATCACTTTCACCTGAGTTCTCCAAAGGCTTGGAGATAGCTTGTAATGCTGGCAGTGGGCACACAGGCAATGTATGTTTTTGAGAGCCTTAGTCACTCCTGAATAGAGGGCCAACGCACTGTGCTCATCCCAACTCCCTTTTCTCTAGGGTGGCCTTGTGCACATCGTTACTCTGTGTTCCAGCTGTGTCTGCTGACTGGTACATTTCCTAGTTGTTGACTCAGACACACCACCCAAATATGCTGGGTTTACAGGACCGTTGGAGGCTTGCTTAGTCAGGCAGGTATGGGTCTGAATGCCCTTCACCTGAGCTGAAACATAAGTCGTATATGTGCGCACATATGTGAGCTCCTTTCACTCCTGCTGCTGCTTGCTGACTTCTCTTTCACGGTTGGTTACCACAGATGGTAAACAAAGGTGCTGACTTGCAGACCGAGGGAGAAGCCAGCCGCCCATCCATGGACTTATTCAAGGCCATCTTTGCCAGCTCCTCAGATGAGAACTCCTCGTCGTCGGAAGATGAGCAGGGTGACAGTGAGGATGAGCAGCCAGGCGCCGGGGAGGCCGACCTCACGCATTCCTCAGAGACGGATTTGGCGACAACATCCTCAATGACACTTGGTATGGTGGGGTTTCCGACTTGGGGATCCGAAGACAAAAGGATGATGTCTTTAGAAAAGCTGCCTCTTTGTTTTAGCCTGTAATCTTTATATATATATATATATAATATATAAAATATTTATATATATTAATATTTTATACATTTTTATATATAATATTTATATATATTAATATTTTAAACGTAAAATTGGATCTATTATTTGCTTAATTTTAAAAAATCAGTTTATTAGGGGCTCACACAACTCTTATCACAATCCATACATACATCAGTTGTGTAAAGCACATTGTACATTCATTGCCCTCATCATTCTCAAAACATTTGCTCTCCATTTAAGCCCCAGGCATCAGCTCCTTATTTTTTCCTCTCTCTCCCTGCTCCCCCCTCCCTCATAAACCCTAGGTAATTTATAAATTAGTATTTTGTTAAATCTTGTACTGTCAGATGTACCCCATCACCCACTTTTCTGTTGTACGTCACCCAGGGAGGAGGTTTTATGTAGATCCTTGTAATCAGTACCCCCTTTCCACCCTCCCTCCACTCTCCCGGTATCGCCACTCTCACCACTGGTCCTGAAAGGATCATCCACCCTGGACTCCCTGTGTTTCCAGTTCTCATCTGTACCAGTGTACATCCTCCAATCAGCCTGATTTGTAAGGCAGAACTGGAATCATGATAGTTGGGGGGCAGGAAGCATCCAGGAACCAGAGGAAAGCTGTATGCTTTATCATTGCTACACTGCACCCTGACTGGCTCATCTCTTCCCTGCAACCCTTCCATAAGGGGATGTCCAACTGCCAACAGATGGGCTTTGGGTCTCCACTCCGCACTCCCCCTCATTCACAGTGATATGATTTTTTGTTTTGATGATGCCTGATACCTGATCCTTTCAGCACCTCATGATCGCGCAGGCTGGTGTGCCTCTTCCATGTGGGCTTTGTTGCTTCTGAGCTAGATGGCCACTTGTTTACCTTCAAGCTTTTAAGACCTCAGACGCTGTATCTTTTGATAGCCGGGCACCATCAGCTTTCTTCACCACATTTGTTTATGCACTCGCTTTGTCTTCAGCGATTGTGTTGGGAAAATGAGCATCATGGAACGCCAGTTTAATAGAACAAAGTATTCTTGCATTGAGGGAGTACTTGAGTGGAGGCCCAATGTCCATCTGCTACCTTAATACTAAATCTATACATATATGCACATAGATCTATTTCCACATCCGCATATGTAAATATGTTTACATATGTCCATGCCTTTATTTAGACCTCTATAAATGCCCTTTGCCTCCTAGCTCTTTCCTCTATTTCCTTTGACTTTCCTCTTGTCCCACTATCATGCTCAGTCTTCATTTGGGTTTCAGTAATTCCTCTCAGTTACATTACCCTTGATCACACCCTACCAGGCCTCCTACACCCTCCTGGATTACTTGTTGTTCCCTTGTCCCTGGGTTTGTTAACACCACTACCTTTTCCCCCACCTCCCCCTCTCCCATGTCCCCCCGGAACTGTCGGTCCCGTTGTTTTCTCCTCCGGATTGTTCATCCAGCCTATCTTATTTAGGCAGACCTGCAGAGATAATGACATGCACAAAACAAGACAGAGCAAAACCAAGCAACAAAACAACAACAACAACAAGCCAATGACAAAAACAAAACAAAACACAACAACAAGAAAGAAAAGCTTGTAGTTAGCTCAAGGACTGTTTGTTGGCAACTTTCCATTTTTATATCTTTTCTATACTGTTGCAAAACAGTAACATGAGAAATTTTGAATGCAAACATTGCTTTTGGGTGAATTATTTTCCTCGGTTTTCTGAGATGGAACGTAGTCTTACCTGGCTCTTTATTGGCTTAGTAGTTTTTTTATTTCTTTTCCTCCCACATGGAGGGCATGTTTCAGTCCTTTGGGTTTCAAGTGATCTGGTGGGGCGGGGAGGGGTGTCCTCTTTGCATCACTCACTGCCATCCAGTTGGATCCAACTCACAGCGACCCTATATAGGGTCATCTGAGGGACTGGTGGGTTTGAACTGCTGCCTTGGCTGTTTGCAGCCCATTGGATCACCCCACCAGGAGTACTGGCGAGCTCTTTGGCCCCTTCTGAATTCTATCCCTGGATGTGCTTAGTTGTGTGTGTCTGTGTGCTCGACTTGGTCTAAGCATCTGGCACAAGTTAGTTAAGTTTTGGTGATCAAAAGCACATGCTATCTGATAGCGGTTATGCTAATTAAAAACTGGAGCACAGGGTATGAGGCTAACAGATGACATGGATTCCTGCTGTTTTGCAGCCAGTGAGCCAGCGCCTCGGGCACCTGCCCCTTCCTTCCCGATTCAGAAGATGCACTTCGATGAAAGAGAAGAGTTTGGCCCCCGGCTGCCTCCCGTCTTTTGTCCTAGTGAGTCCGGAGCTTCTGGGTTCTTCTCTGTGCCTGTTATGAAACCCACCCCCACATCCTACAGGAGCCCCCAGAAAATACACACCTCTGCTTCTGCTTTCTCTATTTTCAGCCAGATTTGGAAATGGGTTGCCTCCACCTAGCACCTAAGTGAAAGTTGTTGCCTTAAATACCCCAGAGCTCTTTACACTCTTTTTCTTTCTTTTGCTTTCAGATGTTCAGCATAACATCCTAAAGTATCAGACTTTTTCAGTTATAGAAAGTAAAAATCTAGAAGAGAATGATGTGAGGATGAGGTGGTAGAATGAAGAATATTCCGAGATTCTTTGGCTAACGTAGCAAATAAACCATAACTGCAGATCTTTCAGAAGTAAATGTAGCTCACCCACCCCCAGTGCCTGTTGGCCACTTCCATCTCGGGCCATGTGAAATGGTGACCTCATTTTAAGATGGCTGACTGGCTACGCTCTCTCAGATGCCCAGATGAGCAAATATCCGGCGGCGGGGTCCAGATGTAAGAGTGGTATATGATTCGCTCACCCATTTTGTGGTTTCCTGTAGCCTACGTATACATATTGGTTTGGCCAAATTAAAATGATAAACTTTCAGACATTTGTAGTTTTAATTGACTTATACATTAAAGCAGATAAATAGAGGAGTAAGAAGTGTGATGTTCTGAAAATGTAGTCAGTGTATTTCTCATTTGCTTCAGCTGTTCAGATCTCTAGTTTAAAGGAGGGTAGCAGCACTTGAAAACAAAGTGTCCCTTCTACAGTTAATAATTTAATTTGGTCTATGAGTGGTTGAGAGCAATGGTTTTGCCAAAAATTGGCAGTAAAAAAGGTTAAGGAGAAGTAATAAAGAGCTAATTAAAAACTTGCTCAAAGGGCTCAAGAAGAAAGATAATGTGTGGAAAATGATGATGGCAGCACCTGTACAAGTTTGTGTCACACAATTAATTTATGGATGGTTATAATTTCTGTAAGAGCCCCAATAAAATTTTTTTTAAAGGTTGAGGAGATTGATTTTTGAAAATATGATCAAATATAGGAGTCGGAAATTCCAAGTACCATCGACCTCATTTGGAAAGTACCTCTGTCTCCAAACATCTTTAAACTTGTACTTGGGTTGTAAGGACACTGCTTTGAGCCATGTCCTTTTTTGATGGTTTGGTCACTTGGAAATGAAAACATTTGGGTTTGAATTTGGAAGTGGAGAATTTAAGCACATGCAACTTATTTAGTCATTTTTAAAAACAATTTTATTGACATATTCATATAAAATTCAGGAGTTTCATCATATTAAAAAGAGTTTTACAATCATCAGCACAATCAATTTTAGAACATTTTCTTCTTTCTTACACTCCCCTTTCTTGTAGCCCCCCATTTCCCCCAACCTCTCCTGCCATACCCCTAAGCAACTATTTATTTAGTTACTGTCTATAGATTTATCCGTCCTGGATTTCAGGAGCCATGCTGGTTACATGGTTACGTGCCCAGGAGCATAGTGGTTACGTGTTGGGCGGTTCGAAACCACCAGCCTCTCCCGGTAAGAAAGATGGGGCTGTCTTCTCCTGGACACAGTGACTGTCTCAGAAGCCCACAGGGCAGTTCTACCCTGTCCTATAGGGTTGCTATGAGTCGGCACTGACTAGATGGCAGTGAATGATCTGGATTTCATATACTAAAAACACCACCACCAACCATAAAAACCCACCCCAAACACCAACAACAATAACAAAGAAAGAAAAACCTCAATTAAAAAGAAAGGTTTAAGCCATTTAAAAAAAAATCATTTTATTGGGGGCTCGTACAACTCATCACAATCCATACATACATCCATGGTGTCAAGCACATTTGTATAGTTGTTACCATCATCATTCTCAAAACACTTGCTTTCTACTTGAGCCCTTGATATCAGCTCCTCATTTCCCCTCTTCCTCTCCTCTCCCCGCTCCCTCACAAACCCTTGATAATTTATAAATTATTATTATTTTGTCATGTCTTACACTGTCTGACGTCTCCCTTCACCCACTTTTCTGTTGTCTGTCCCCCAGGAAGGGGGTTATATGTAGATCCTTTTATAGCCATTTTTATTTATTTTATTTTTTGAAGGTTGAGTTTTTAGGAAATATGAGAGGCAAAGATACCCCAGGTGACATGGAAAACAAACTCTGAAAATGTCCCTCCAAGCAAAGTGGGGGCCTGGCCTTGATCTCCCCAAAAGGATGAAAAGCGAGTGGGTTAGCAGCAGCCATCTCTGGCAGCCAGGGCATGAGTGTCTCAGCCAGGACTCATCCCACTCCCTACCTACAAGACAGGCGGTCGGAAGAAACAGTGCAAAGGCATGGAGAGCTGTAAGGAATGGCTGAGAGGGAGAGAGGCGGTGGGGACCTTAAAGAGAGGCCCAGGCTGTTAGCTGTGAGTGCTTCCAGATATTGAAGTGTAGTTCTATAAAAGGTCACTGAAAGGTTAAAGTGTCTAATGTCTCTGAGAGTCCCCCTGGACTTCTCCCCAAATGTCACGTCATACCCCCAGTTGTACATGGCAGAGGCCAAAGGCCACACTTTTGAGAAGAGATGCGAGACTAAGCCCCGCTGTTCTCTAAGCAGAGAAGGAGCTGAAGGCGGCTGGACCTTCCCACGTGGGCCTGGGTCTGCCACGCAACTCCCCATTAGCATCGGGCACAGCTCTAGGCGAGAGGCTCACCTTTTGTCACCCGAGCTTCAATGTACTCCATTCCCGTTCAGGGTTGTCAATTTTTCATGTAGCGTGGCGAGTCTTGAACAACAAGACTGATCGGACGCATTGAGGAAGCCGTGGTTTTCTTGATGTTGCTGGTGAGGACCTTAATGTGCTCACGGTTCACGCCGCCCTGGTGCATATGTCCTGCTGCACCGGGCCCTCTTGTCCTGCATTTGTAATGACTGCTCACATTATGTTTATTTTGGTGAAGTTAGCTTTTAAGTGTTTCTATTTCGAGGGTCACTTTTCATAAAAGGTGCTTTGCAAAGAGGATGATGTAGAAGAAGTGATGTTTATCTATCAGATTTTGGGCTGTGGGTTTTCATAGCTTTGCCTCATATGTGCTCCACTAGATTCATGGACACATTTGCAGCTTATGTAAGTACTTATATACTCCCATCATTACATACAGGTACTTCTATCCCAAATGGTGTAGTCTCGTCCGCGTTCCCACTCCTGTTCAGCTTCTGTGTTATCCACCGGTGCATCATTGTCACAGCTGCTCTTGTAATGTTGAGAGTACGGTAGTGCCTTTCTTTGTTGTCTGTAAGGCCTGTGCTCTTCCCAGTGTCTTCCTTTGGCTTAATCCTTTTGTGCCCAATATATATTGCCTTTCCCTTCACCCAAGTTACTAAGTGTCCCTTCTGTAGTTAGGCATGAGGCTCTGATTACTGCCATTTTACATATAGAGAGATTGAGGCTTGGGGAGGTTGAATCCTGTGCTGTCACAGAGCTGGTAACAGAGTTAGTATTCCGACCTGGTCCATCTCTTAGCTGACCTGAGGTTGTCAAATTACAAAAGGCTTGTCGGATTTCTGGTCTGATTTTATCTTCACCTGACATCATTTGGCATGGAACTGGTTGCTCACATCTGTCCCATGTAGAGGTTTCATGCAGCTTCCTCATTAGAGAGCTGCAACGCCCCCCGTGAGGCTGAAGCACATCGGAGTGGGGTCTTGCCTCAGGGTTTCACCATGCCTTCTAGATCAGACATCTAACTTTTTAATTTTGTCACTTCGTGGTTTTTGTTTTTCAGAATTAGCCTACATTTCCCCTCCTCTCATGTGTTTATTACATTTTTTGCTTCAGATGCTCGGCAGGAACTTGAGGTTCCTCAAAAGGAGAAACCTAAAAAGAACAAAGACAAACACAAGCTTAAGAAAGAACACCGACGGAAGAAAGAGAAGGTGAGTGACTTGTGAGTGTCCTAAGGCTGGTCTGAGAGCCGATGTCCATCCTTTGTCTTCCAGATGAGCCCCCAGGATTGGAAGGGAGGAAGGGAGAAGACCTTGGACCCAGAAGGGTGTGTGCACAGATCTGTCAAGGAAACATTGACAGCTAGTGTAAAACTTGATTTCAGAAATTTCCCATTTGTTTCAGAGTAGAAATTTTAATTTTTCCAATTTTTAATTGTTTTTAAAAGTATTTTCTTGAAAGACCATGTTTCCTGATCTGATAGAGACTGGTAGACTCTCGCAGACTGTGACCCCTTAGGGCCCCCTCAAACCTGGACGTGAATCCCCCTCTGGGCATCACCTTTCAGCCAAACAGACCAAAGCAAGTCAAGTGAGGAATTATTAATGAGAGAACCATTAATAATGAGACCAAAAGAGTAGCATTTTCCCCCAAACAAAGCTCAGAAGTCAGGAATGGATAGGAAATAAGGATATCGATACAGGGAACTCAGAAAGAGAGTGGAAGAATGCTGTTTCACCGAAGGAATTGCAATTGATGTTATAAAAGAAAATGTGGACGAGTGATTGACTGGAAAACTAATTTGCTCTGGAAACTTGTACCCAAACTGCAATAAATTGAAAAAAAAAGTAAACATTAAGAAATTAAAAAGGGGTCTGAGGACATAGTAAAAAAGGACATTTAAGTATCCCAGAGTAATGATTAAGTTTACACATAATTAATACAGCTACTTATTGACCAGTCAAGTACCTGACTTTACCCCTGGAGGGACTCGAGAAAGATGGATCACGTAAACCTGGCTGCAGAATGAAGGCGATAAAGAGTGGAGGTGAGAGAAAGGACATAAAATAGAAAAACAGAATTAATGAAAAGATCAATAAAATGATGAAACCGTTAGCTAGACAGGAGCCTTGGAGGCAGTGTTGCATAAGTCTTGAACTGTTAACTGCAGGGTCGGTGGTTCAAACCTACTAGCTGTTCCATGGGAGAGAGAGGAGGCTCTCTTCTCCCATGAAGCTGTACAGCCTTGGACACTATGTAGGGCCACTATCAGTCAGACTCGACTCATGGAACATTTTTTAGTTTTTTGAAAAAATTTTAACTAGTCTAAGAAAGAGCGAAGGCACACATAGCTAAAATGAGAAATGAAAGTGGATTTGTTAGATCTCTCTGGAGCTCGATTTATACCTCGGTCCTTGGCTCCGCGGAGAAAGAATTCACGCCAAAGCCTGGCTCGTGATCGAAGTGAGTTTTATGAGAATTAGAAGAAGTTTCAGGTTTACACGGCACCCAAGGGGCTCCTCCCGGACATGCGGCCTGGCCGGAAGCAGCTCAGCGTCCTGCAAAGCATCCCAAAGTTCCGCCAAAGCTCTCTGTGCCAAAGTTCTCTCTCCCTCCGCCAAAGTTCCCTCTCTCTAAAGTTCTCTCCCTTTTAAGGATTCCACGGGGAGGCGTGGTGGATGACCCCTGATCGACCCCATTGGCTGAATTGAATTTACCTGGCTAGGTGAGCCAATTCAGGTTCACGCCCACCCCTGCCTACCAGCGGAACTCTGAGCATGTGCAGTGCGTCACTCCTTTGTTTCCCTAGCTTGGCCCTCTGGGCACGTGTTAACGGACATCCCCCAGTCCTATGCTGGCCTACCTAACAGATTGTTTACTACCAACCCTATAAACAGTTTTATACCAGCAAACTGGATAACAACATGAATGGACAGGTTCTTAAAAACATGATTTACCTAAAGTGACCCAAGAAGAAATACAAGGGAACTTCAGCAATTCTGTTGTCTTTTAGTTTTATTTCCCACAATGCTTTTGAGGGCTCTTCATAGAAATCTCAGCAGATTTATAACAAATGAAGAGATTGAGTCAGTAATTTAAAACCTCTGGACAGAGAATTATACAAAACCACATGGCTTTACTGGTGAACTACCAAATCTTTAAAGGAGAATGAACACAATTCCTCTAATATTCTGTGAGGGAAAAAAATGGAAGATAAGGGAACACATCCCAACTCATTCTTTGAAGGTAGCATTACCTTGATACAAAAACACCACAGGAAAAGTACTGACCAATGTCCCTTATTGATATAAATATTATAGCTATAAAAATCTTCAACAAAGCACACTAGCAAGCAGAGTACAGCGGTATAGTAAAAAGATGACACACTATGTTCAAGTGGGATTTATCTCAGGAATGCAAGGGTGAGGAAAATCAATCCTAATATACCACATCAATAGAGCAAAGGGAGAAAAAGCAATGCATAATTGTGGGGGGAGGTCAGATGTATAGGCATCCCCCCACTGAGGGCAATCCTTTGCCAGACTGCACTGGGCCTGCTCCCTGCTGCTGGAGACAAGGGACTACTCTCTGAAGCTTGGGACCATTAGCTTGGTTCCTGTAGGAGGGGTTTGCACCCTACTGATAATGGTTACCCAGAGACCACCCCCTAGACCACCCCCTCATTACTGTGTAACCTATAGTATAACCCCTTCCTGTGATGTATGTCTTTACCTATAATTAGTGGGCTGGCATGCCCCCAAAAGGTATATAGGCGTGGGTCAGCAATAGAGAT